AGATATTGAACAGAGCCGGTCCCAAAACAGACCCCTGAGGAACCCCACTTGTTATACCTTTCCAGCAGGATTGGGAACCATTAATGACTACTCTCTGAGTACGGTTATCCAGACAGTTATGCACCCACCTTATAGTAGCCCCATCTAAGTTGTATTTGCCTAGTTTATCGATAAGAATATCATGTGAGACCGTATCAAATGCCTTACTAAAGTCTAGGTATACCACATCCACCACTTCTCCCTTATCCACAAGACTCGTTATCCTATCAAAGAAAGCTATCAGATTGGTTTGACATGATTTGTTCTTTACAAATCCATGCTGGCTATTCCCTATCACCTTACCACCTTCCAAGTGTTTGCAGATGATTTCCTTAATTACTTGCTCCATTATCTTCCCTGGCACAGAAGTTAAACTAACTGGGGTCTGTAGTTTCCTGGGTCGTTTTTATTTCCCTTTTTATAGATGGGCACTATATTTGCCCTTTTCCAGTCTTCTGGAATCTCTCCTGTCTCCCATGATTTTCCAAAGATAATAGCTAGAGGCTCAGATACCTCCTCTATTAGCTCCTATCATATCCAACCTTCTCCTTTAGAGTACAGTGAAGCAGGTACTGTACTTCAGCAGGGCCAAACTGCTGAGGGATGGGTGTTGAGTGCAGTGGGTAGTGGGAGTCCACACTCCTGGACTGTGAGGAGGGAGCAGTGGAATGCTGCGGGTAGAGAGTGGAGCCAGGAGGTTGATAACTGTGTTGGCAGGTGTGTGTGGGGAGCATGGGAAAGAGTTTTGTGACAGCGGCTGCAGGGGAGGGCGGGCACAGAGTTGCTTGGTTTGAAGCGCTAGTATCGCCTGGAGAGTGTCCACTTGGCGCTCCATAACTGTTAGGAGCTGTCCGTGGCTTCTTTCTGGTGTGCTGCGTTCTCCTTTCGGTCCCTCTTCTTGCTGTCAACATTTCAAAGGAATCCAGCTAAGCTTGTTGATTTTAGAGGACTTAGAAAAGTTGTCCTTTTAGCTGTGATGCAGCCTTAACTATAGTGGCACTCCCACACCACTATAATAACAGAGATACTCCCTGCCTCAAAGAATTCAGTCAACGTGAATTGGTGGATGTGTGCAGCGTTTATGCATGGGTTGGGGTGCACTCGCAGAGCTGTGGGATGGAGGGTGGTTGGGATGCACTGATAGAGCTGAGGGTGCAGGAGGGTTCGGGTGCAGGGTTGGAGTGCACTGGAAGAGCTGTAAAGTGCAGGAAGATTGGGGTGCACTGTCAGAGCTATGGGTGAAGGGATTTGGGGTGCACCTACAGAGTTGTGGGGTGCAGGGGATTGGGATGCACCTGCAGAGGTGTGGGTGCAGGGTTGGGGTACACTGGCTGAGCTGAAGGGGAAAAGGGTTGGGGTACATTGGCAGAGCTGTGGGTGCATGAGGACTGGGGTGCAGTAGCAGAGCTGGAGTGTGCCATGCCTCTCTCCCCTGATCCCCCAACCTCTCTCCCCTCCCCTACCACTCATCCCCATGTATCCCTCTGGTTTCATGAACAGTAACTTAAAGCAGCCCTCTTGATAAAAACCTGTACATTCTAGATCTCACAACTTCATATTGCCTACTTCCCTGACCTATCACTTCTTCATCCACCGTGAGATTTACTGGATCTATTTTGACTTCAGTAATCCACATCGTAAGGCCCACATTGTGAGTAAGAAACTTCTTCTCCTTGTATGGCTGTGCTGGGGCAACTCACAACAACCACCTCTGAGCTCTCCATATTGCTTGTTCCACACAGACGCCTACTCAGACCAGTAGCTGAAAAGCCACAATCTAGCCTTAAGGGCTTGATCCTGTTTCCACTGAGGTCAGTGGCAAAACTTTCACTGGCTTCAGTAGATAAAGGACTGGTCCCCAAATTCCCCATACAATGAACTATATTTATTAGTAGGGCTGTCAAGCGATTAAAGAAATTAATTGCGATTAATCGCACTGTTAATAATAGAATACCATTTATTTAAATATTTTTGGATGTCTTCTACATTTTCAAATATATTGATTTCAATTACAACACAGAATACAAAGTATACAGTGCTCACTTTATATTTATTTTTTATTACAAGCATTTGCACTACAAAAAAAACAAAAAAAAATAGTATTTTTCAATTCACATAATACAAGTACTGTAGTGAGTGACAGAGTCCTGTGGCACCTTATAGACTAACAGACGTATTAGAGCATAAGCTTTCGTGGGTGAATACCCACTTCGTCAGATGCATGTAGTGGAAATTTCCAGAGGCAGGTATAAATATGCAGGCAAGAATCAGTCTAGAGATAACGAGGTTAGTTCAATCAGGGAGGATGAGGCCCTCTTCTAGCAGTTGAGGAGTGAACACCAACGGAGGGGCAACTGCTTTTGTAGTTGGCTAGCCATTTACAGTCTTTGTTTAATCCTGAGCTGATGGTGTCAAATTTGCAAATGAACTGAATTCAGCAGTTTCTCTTTGAAGTCTGGTCCTGAAGTTTTTTTGTTGCAGGATGGCTACCTTTAAATCTGCTATTGTGTGTCCAGGGAGGTTGAAGTGTTCTCCTGCAGGTTTTTGTATATTGCCATTCCTAATACACTGCTACCTTGATATAACGTGACCCGATATAACATGAATTCGGATATAATGCGATAAAGCAGTGCTCGGGGGGGGGGGGGGGAGGGCTGCGCACTCCGGTGGATCAAAGCAAGTTCAAAATAATGCGGTTTCACCTATAACGCAGTAAGATTTTTTGGCTCCCGAGGACAGCGTTATGTCGAGGTAGAGGGGTATCTGACTTGTGTCCATTTATCCTTTTACGTAGGGATTGTCCAGTTTGGCCGATGTACATAGCAAAGGGGCATTGCTGGCACATGCTGGCATATATTACATTGGTGGATGTGCAGGTGAATGAACTGGTGATGTGGCTGATCTGGTTAGGTCCTATGATGGTGTCACTGATGTAAATATGTGGGCAGAGTTGGCATCGAGCTTTGTTGCATGGATTGGTTCCTGAGTTAGAGTTACTATGGTGCGGTGTGTGGTTGCTGGTGAGAATATGCTTAAGGTTGGCAGGTTGTCTGTCTCCCAAGGCCTGTGAAAGCGAGGGATCGTTGTCCAGGATGGGTTGTAGATCACTGATGATGCTTAGAAGAGGGCCTCTTCCTCCCTGATTGAACTAACCTCGTTATCTCTAGACTGATTCTTGCCTGCATATTTATACCTGCCTCTGGAAATTTCCACTACATGCGTCTGACGAAGTGGGTATTCACCCACGAAAGCTTATGCTCCAATACGTCTATTAGTCTATAAGGTGCCACAGGACTCTTTGTCGCTTCTTACAGATCCAGACTAACACGGCTACCCCTCTGATACAAGTACTGTCATGCAATCTCTTTATCATGAAAGTTGAACTTACAAATGTAGAATTATGTCCAAAATAACTGCATTCAAAAATAAAACAATGTAAAAGTTTAGAGCCTGCAAGTCCACTCAGTCTTACTTCCAATCGCTCAGATAAACAAGTTTGTTTACATTTGCAGAAGGTAATGCTGCCCACTTCTTGTTTAAAATGCTGCCTGAAAGTGAGAACAGGTGTTCTCAGGGCACTGTTGTAGCTGGCGTTGCAAGATATTTACGTGCCAGATGTGCCAAAGATTCATATGTCCCTTCATACTTCAACCATCATTCCAGGGGACATGCATCGATTCTGATGATGGGTTCTGCTCGATAATATCGAAAGCAGTGCAGACCGATGCCTGTTCATTTTCATCATCTGAGTCAGATGCCACCAAAAGAAGGTTGATTTTCTTTTTGGGTGGTTCGGGTTCTGTAGTTTCCACATTGGAGCATTGCTCTTTTAGGACTTCTGAAAGCATGCTTCTCACCTCGTCCCTCTCAGATTTTGGAAGGCACTTCAGATTCTTAAACCTTGGGTCGAGTGCTGTAGCTATCTTTAGAAATCTCACATTGGTACCTTCTTTGCATTTTGTGAAATCTGCAGTGAAAGTGTTCTTACCATGAACAAAATGTGCTGAGTTATCATCCGAGACTGCTATAACATGAAATATATGGCAGAATGCGGGTAAAACAGAGCAGGGGACATACAAGTATCCCCCAAGGAGTTCAGTCACAAATTTAGTTTACGCATTATTTTTTTAACGAGCGCCATCAGCATGGAAGCGTGTCCTCTGGAATGGTGGCCGAAGCATGAAGGGGCATACAAAAGTTTAGCATATCTGGCACGTAAATACCTTGCAATGCTAGCTACAAAAGTGCCATGTTCTCACTTTCTGGTGACATTGTAAATAAGAAGAGGGCAGCATTATCTCCTGTAAATGTAAACAAACTTGTTTGTCTTAGCGATTGGCTGAACAAGAAGTAGGACTGAGTGGACTTATAGGCTCTCAAGTTTTACATGGTTTTGGTTTGGAGTGCCGATATATAACAAAAAAAAAAAAAAGAAGAAGAAAATCTACATTTGTAAGCTGCACTTTCACGACAAAGAGATTGCACTACAGATTGTATGAGGTGAACTGAAAAATATTATTACTTTTGTCTATGATTTTTACGGTGTAAATATTTGTAATAAAGATAATATACACTTTGATTTCAATTACAACACAATACAATATGTATGAAAATGTAGAAAGCTGAGCTTTCTGCTGCATAAACCTGCAGTGCCTGCCTGTAACATTATTGTGTTGAATGTGCAGCATGGGACATGGATCTCTGCCTGGGAGAAGACACCTGTTTAAACTCAAATATCTACTATCATTAGCTAAATAGCATTTTACATGTTATGAAAACTTGCTTGTCTTTTGTACTTATATGGCCCCGATTACCTTAGTAATTAAGTGCCTCAGAATCTTTAATATATTTATCCTTATAATACCCCTGAGATGTAGGGAAATGCTATTATCTCCTTTTTACAGATGGAAAACTGAAGAACAGAGAGACTAAGTCCAAGGTCTTATAGGAAGTCTGTGACCATGTAGGGACTTGAGCCCAGGTCTCCCAAGTCGTAGGTTAGCTCCCTAACCACTGGACAATACTGCCTCACATGTGAGCTTGTAAAACATGGGTTGGTTTTTTTTCAAACTCTGTCCCGTACATTCTTAAAAGGAAGAAATAGAGAATAAAACATACATTACTGTCGTGCTTTAGAAAGGTACTGGACTGTTCTGTTCTGTAGGGCTGTCACTCTGTTTAGCCACAACAGAGGGAGATGTAGAATGAAGAAGGGCTCTAGGTCAAACCAGGTATCCCCTCCAATAATATAAGCAGCTTCTTATCTCTTTAGTTAACGGTTCACTCTGCTGGTTTACATTATTAATTCATTTATTGTTTTCATCAATACTTTGTAATGTACAAAAAAATACTTTAAAATACAAAACCAAAGATAAAAATTTCATTTGGTTGCATAATGGCAATAGAATAAAATAAATGGAAAGATTCATGTCACAGAGGTGATGTCCGCTTACCAATCCATTCTCTTTTTAGCAGTATCAACCACTCCCAAGTTTTGGTAGCTGGTGGATTAGTTAGTTTACTTGCCATAGGCATCCTGTGCCAGTTGTGACTGGAACACTTTCTGTCTCATAAATATTTCAAATTGACCAACATCAAATATTTATTAAATGGGTTAAACTATTGTTTCAAGTAACCACAACTGTTCTACATTAAAAATATACATTTATTTTTAGAGATAGGGCTCAATTCTACCCACAGTTATGCAGATGCAACTCCCACTGAAGTTGGTGGGAATTGTTTCTGGGAGGCTGAGGGCCAAATCAGGCCTGAACCCATTCTAAATGTAAGTTGTGTTTGGCTTTAGCTCAGTGTTTTTTCTGGTGATCTTTGTTTCCATCCAGTTCACCAATTAGCTACTCTAAATATGAATTTGTATCTTCTATAAACTGATCTTCATTATCAAGGTATTCCAGAATAATGTTTCCACCATTATATAATGGACACTCTTGATTGGATAACCAAGTAGCCAATGTGTGGTCCAATGGCAAAGCTTCTCCAGATGCAGTATGACACAGCCTTAATTTCTGCAAGAAATGCCCCCCGCAAAAAAATCTTGTTGTTAATTCATATTCATGCATGAAAGACAGAAAAAAATTATAACATTAAATGAAAATTGCTACCACTGATTTACCTTGGCTGTTGATTTGTTGTTGTCATTTTTAAGGTCTGCTAAGCAAGCTGCAAAATCTACTACTTTGCCAATACTCCACTTACTGCAAAAGAACATGGATTTGCTCTTCTCCTTGCTTCCCTTAGGTAAAAACACTTGAAAGTAAATTCTTTCTGTCTACAGTAAGAAACAGAGAAACGAACAATCACAAACACACATCAATTAATTTTGCTGGTCTAAAGAGAATTAAGCTGACATGTACATTATTATTATTATTATTATTATTAATCACTTTATACTGCAGTACTCCCCAAAGGCCTCAGTCGAGATTAGGCTCCCATTGTGCTAGATGCTGTTACAAATACCTATGAAGAGAAAGTCCCTGCCCTGGCTATCAGACAATAATGATCGCTTTGAAGAGGAAGAAGGTACACCTCTACCCCAATATAACGTGACCCGATATAACACAAATTCTGATATAACATGGTAAAGCAGTGCTCCAGGCAGGCGGGGCTGCGCACTCCGGTGGATCAAAGCAAGTTCGATATAACATGGTTTCACCTATAACGCAGTAAGATTTTTTGGCTCCCGAGGACAGCGTTATATCGAGGTAGAGGTGTAGTTTAAAGAGGTAATGCTGGTTGGGCTCCCGTGCTGGTGTGTGTCAGGAATACGATATGTCACAATATTGTGGAAGTCCCAAGCTGGAAAGCAAACAAAAGGCTACTGGTAGTCATGTACACTGTGGAGCCGATGTGCTTGAGTTCTGATGATAAAGAGCAATCAGTGATATCAGAGGTGCCTGCCAGCACTTTTGTCTAGGCCAGCTTCTCAACCTTCATCCCATCCCATCCTTCCTCCCTGTAGGTACCAAAAGCTTTGTGGCCTTCCCCATGACTGAAACATTTATAAGAGAGGGTACTATTACAATCTTTATTGCCTAAAAGATGCATATTTTAAATATGAAGTAGGGACCACCTGTTTTTTTCTGGTTTGTTTTCCCTTCATACTTGTTTCCGTGGTTTCATCAACTTCTATTTTATGTTCTATAAACACAATAGACAGGTTCGCCTTTGCCAGGTGCCAGCTGAAAGCAAGTAAGCAAGATAAAAAATATTTCTTCTTTTCATTGGTTTTACTTGGGTTTGCCCTAGAAAGAATTCATACCTCCCCACCCTCACCACCCTTAAGTCTGTGGGCTTGTCTTCACTGCAGTTAACTCAAGTAATAACTTGAGTGCTGACCCTAACCCTGAATTCCATCCACACACAAAAACCTTTAACTCAAGCGTGGTGGTGTTTTTAACTCAAGTTAGCTGGCCCAAGAGGGGATATAGGCTGAAACTCAAACAAGCGCAACTCATAACCTACTAACATGACCACTCTATAGCTGGATGCAGGATAGTGCCACTCTACTGCCGATAGTCCTCCAATGCTTTCCCACAATTCCTACTGTGTGCCCAGAAAGGACAGACAAGTTCTCTCACAATTCACTGGGACAGAATTCAGACAGTGGCTCAGCATACTGCAATACTAATCATGAGATATGCCTCCATAAGTCTCTGCAACACCTGAGTGAGTACAATGCCAGGGCAGACATAGCAACTTGACTGTTATTTCACAATCTGGCTACTCTCACTCAAGCCAGGCAAACTCAAGAGGAGTAACTTGAGTTTATTCTGAAGTCAAGACATATCCTGGGAAACAATCTAGAAAAAAACCTACAAATCTAGAAAGGGTTCGACAAGAAAAATTTGAGGGCTTAACTAGACCAACTTTCCAGCTGTGAAAAGTGATGCAGCAGAGAGGGATCCAAGGGACATCTGTCACTAAGCTGAAGGGAGAGTTGGGGAGAATAGCACAGAATGAGGGCTGGGAAGAGAGTTTGAGAAGGGAACTGAAAAGAGAGTAGAATTGTGGGTTGGAGTTTAATTACATCTGTGATAGATTATCACTATTCTACATGATTAAACAATTAAACTCCAGTTAAGCAAATGAATAATGAAAGGAATTAACATAGAGCCATTTGTGCTGTGGGTTACAATCTTTAGAGTTAGGGAACAGCAATTTAATTTCCTTATAACCAAAAAACCCAAACTCATTCTGTTACCTCCTGCATCTCAAGATGTTAATCACTGTCTCCATTCGTACATCTATTAAAATGGCATAATCTAAGGATTGTGCGGCAAGCAGGACTTCACATTAAGATTGCTACCTAAACAGGAATGTTTAATTTGTACTCCAAGCATGTGGAGATTTGTAGTAGAGAAAAAGAAGTTGTAATAGGATTCAGAGAGGGAAGAGCTACGTTTGTTTTACAATAATTAAATGTAAAACAAGACAAAGCCTAATGGTAAAAATGATGAAATGCATTGTATATGATGTGGCCAATATATAAAATTACAAATTGGTCTAGAATGAAATCCTGCAAGAGGGAAATAGAAAGACATTTACAAACTAAAAATCACCCTGGCTTGAAAAAAAAATGGAGCTGTTGTTCTGAATGATCATAGTGAGAAACAATGAAGAATCAGTGAAGTAATGGATGCTGCTGACCTTGGCTATGGTGAAATATGTAGCTCAGCTAAACTGTAGAAGAAGTGTGAACAAATCTTGTTTTATCACTCAAAGCTCAGGCCAAGTATGAGCTAGATTTCTCCAGGCTGGCACAAAGATATGTAAATTGCACCCTCTATGCACCAACCAGGGTCGCTGCATCCACATGAGAGGGCAGGCAGTGCTTCAATTGTGAACATCTCTCAGGGGTTATCGGCTTTAAGACTTAGGACATGTCTATGCTTCAGTGGCACAGCTATGGTACTGCAGCTGTGCCGCTGTAGCATAGATGCTTCTTTCATTGTTGGAAGGGGTTTTCTGTCAATGTAAGTAATCCATCTCTCTGAGAGGCAGTACGTAAGTCAATTATGTATACAGTGGGGATTAAGCTGAACTAACTATGACACACAGGGCACAACGTTTTTCACAGCCCTTAGTGGTGTAGACCAGGCCTTCTTTTGGACTGCAATTTGTTCATGGTTAGTGTGGCAGATTAATTTCCTGTTTAAATAGCAAACTACATGTCCATTTTCTCTCTCACGCACAATATAAGAGAATTTGCTTTCAGGCAGGAGATTCAGGCCCTGATCCTGCATATGCTGAATTTTACACACGAGTACTCCACTGAGTTTAATAGGACTACTCTTGTGTGTGAAGTTAAGCAGGAGTGTAAATGATTGTGTTTTCAGGGGCTAATTCAGAAAAAAAAAAATAAACAGAATACTTTTTTTTTTAATATTCTGTTTTACTCTAAATGAGAGAGTAAAATTAACAACAAAAGTCTAGAAATCTGTTTATATCCTTAAATAAATAGAGTAAATCAGAAACACTGATGCGGTTTGAAGGCAACTGCGTATGACTGACCTGTGGCAAGGACTTATCCCCACACGCGTGCATTTTCAGTTTCATTAGTGCCACCTTTGCTGCTGTTTCACTGTTTTTTGCTCCTTTCCGTCTTTTGCTTCTTACTGCGTCCTCCTTTTTAGAATCTGAGGAAAATATTATTTCTGAATGTTACTCCAAGTCACGTTTTCTTTCACTCTGTTACAAATGAAATTACCATTGTGTCTATTGTCACAAAAGTTTAGAGTTCAGTGCACTGGAATAATTTAGATCTGCCTCTGTGGGTGTGCCCACACTGCAGCGGAGGCGAGCCTCCCAGCCAAGGTAGGCAGACTCACGATAGCAGGGCTTGAGCTAGTGCACCAAAATAGCGGTATGGACATGGAAGCTCGGACTACAGCTCGGACTCTCAAGCCCACCTGTCCCCCTAAGTTTGAGACATACTCTTTGTGAGTGGATCCCCTTCTCTTCCATGCATCCAGGCAATCATACAATTGCTGGTACTCTGAGTACTAGGGAGTCTGACCAGTCCTATTGGAATTAGTAACTAGGGCTGTCAAGTGATTAAAAAAATTAATCACGATTAATGACACTGTTAAACAATAATAGAATACCATTTATTTAAATATTTTTGGATGTTTTCTACATTTTCAAATATATTGATTTCAATTACAACAGAGAATACAAAGTGTACAGTGCTCACTTTATATTTATTTTTGATTACAAGTATTTGCACTGTAAAAATGATGAAAAATTGTATTTTTCAATTCACCTCATACAAGTACTGTAGTGCGATCTCTTTGTCGTGAAAGTGCAACATACAAATGTAGATTTTTTTTTGTTACATAACTGCACTCCAAAACAAAACAATGTAAAACTTTAGAGCCTGCAAGTTCACTCAGTCCTACTTCTTGGTCAGCCAATCTCTCAGACAAACAAGTTTGTTTACATTTGCAGGAGATAATGCTGCCTGTTTCTTGTTTACAATGTCACTGTTGTAGCCGGCATCGCAAGATATTTACGTGCCAGATGCGCTAAAGATTCATATGTCCCTTCATGCTTCAACCACCATTCCAGAAGGCATGCGTCCATGCTGATGACGGGTTCTGCTCGATAACAATCGAAAGCAGTGTGGACTGACGCATATCCATTTTCATCCTCTTTCAGCCACGAGCAGAAAGTTGATTTTCTTTTTTGGTAGTTCGGGTTCTGTAATTTCCACATCGGAATGTTTCTCTTTTCAGACTTCTGAATGCAAGCTCCACACCTCGTCCCTCTCAGATTTTGGAAGGCACTTCAGATTCTTAAACCCTGGGTCGAGTGCTTTAGAAAGCATTTCTTTAGAAATCTCACATTGATACCTTCCTTGTGTTTTGTCAAATCTGCAGTGAAAGTGTTCTTACCATGAACAAAATGTGCTGAGTCATCATCCGAGACTGCTATAACATGAAATATATGGCAGAATGCGGGTAAAACAGAGCAGGGCACATACAAATATCCCCCAAGGAGTTCAGTCACAAATTTAATTTACGCATTATTTTTTTAACGAGCGCCATCAGCATGGAAGCGTGTCCTCTGGAATGGTGGCCGAAGCATGAAGAGGCATACAAATGTTTAGCGTATGTGGCACATAAATACCTTGCAATGCCGGCTACAAAAGCCAGTTCTCACTTTCTGGTGACATTGTAAATAAGAAGCGGGCAGCATTATTTCCTGTAATGTAAACAAACTTGTTTGTCTTAGCAACTGGCTGAACAAGAAGTAGGACTGAGTGGACTTGTAGGCTCTAAAGTTTTACATTGTTTTGTTTTGGAGTGCGGTTATTTAACAAGCAAAAAAAAATCTACATTTGTATGTTGCACTTTCACGACAAAGAGATCGCACTACAGTACTTATATGAGGTGAATTGAAAATACTATTTCTTTTGTTTATCATTTTTACAGTGCAAATATTTGTAATAAAAATAATTTACACGTTGTATTCTGTGTTGTAATTGAAATCAATATATATGAAAATGTAGAAAAAGATCCAAAATATTTAATAATTTTCAATTTGTATTCTATTGTTTCACAGAGCGATTAAAACTGCGATTAATTTTTTTAATCACGATTAATTTTTTGAGTTAATCGCATGAGTTAACTGCGATTAATCGACAGCCCTATTGGTAACTGGGCCAGAGAAATGTGCTGGGATGGAGCAGAAAAAGACCCCGTCCTCTGCACTGATCTGTGGCTGCAAAGCAGCACTGGGGGAGCATAAGCTACATGAGCTGAACAGATGTAGAAAGTGATACTTCTAAATGTGCTTCACCACAACATCTCTGAGGTACTATTCCAGCCCCTCCACTACACAAACATAATGTGGCCAGGTCTGGCAGTGCTCCTTAGTGTAGGTCTAGCCCACAAGGCCATAAAAGTGCCCACTCTGTGGCCAAACTTTGCTACTATGAGGGCTGCCCGGGCAACATGCCAGCAGCCTAAGGTTTGCACCCAATCTGCATATATTTTTACCTAATATTTTTACTAATCCACCTAATCACAATACTTACCTTTCATCATAACAGAAACTGCTATTTAGACTTGATTAGCAATAAAATCCAGTCTCCATCAGCTTTGTCCTCATCCTGGATTTGCAGGGGGCAGCCTGGGCCACATCTGGACTTTAGGGACATCTGCCATAGTGTATCATGTCTCCAAATATAGGAGCAGGGCTACACATGGGCACTCACAGGCAGGCGTTATCCATTCAAGGAACCTTCATTCTTTTGACAAGCTTGGACTTCTAGACTAATACAAAAGCTCAAACAGCTCACTGAAGAAAATAATACAATAAATATCCTATGGTACTTGCCTATAATATCTTTAACTAGCTTCTGAGTAGCAGCCATGCGAGGTTTAGGGGTATCCAGTTTCTCACACTCATGGTCTGACTGATGACGGTGTCTATAAACAATAGAACAGCAAACTCTCATTAGATGTTCCATATGTTAACAACAGAGCATAGGTGTTTCAACATTTTGCTCTGCTCACCTTAAGCAAAACTGTTTCTTGCAGTGGGGGCATAAAATTGGTAAAAGCTCTTTTCCATTGCAGCCCTTATACGTGCATGGGTAAGATCGATGTTCGTCCAATTTCATGCTCTCGCTTCTTATATTCACCTAAACATTATTAAGAAACATTCAGTGTAAATACACATATGTAATGAAAAATAATTTGCATCCTTATCCAACTTGCTTTAGTGCTTTGATTCTGACATTACAGAAAAACAGGAAATTAATTTAGAGTGCTTTAAGGGAGACCTGCAAGCTTTAAACAAACAAACACAAAAGTTCTCCACTTGCAGCTATGTGAATTGAACATCCCCAATAACCAGATGTTGTGGGGTTTTGATGTCTTGCAAAGAAATCACAAATTATCAACTTACCTCAGAACAGCCATGAGAATCCCGGCTTCTATGTTGAAGGCTTAAAGTTAAAAGAAAAAAGTCCCCATCACTATCCAAATTTCAAAAAAGCAAAAAGAAAACATGAGCCCATATAAGTGTTTGATAAGTTGTAATGTAGCATGGCTTTCATCATGATCAAATTTCAACTAAATAACCACCATTCTCTTCCAAAACTTGTACCAGCATACAGATTTTTGTCACCAAGGGGATTGGTTTTAAAACTAAAAGTGTCATATTGCTCTTGACAGCGTATGATGGTTTAGTTCTCAAAAATTAGGCCTCAATTCAGCAAAGTACTTTTAGTGAAAGGGGCTACTCACATGCTTAAAACTAAGGCCCAGATCCACAAATCAACTTAGCTGGCTAAGCCCCTGATCTAGTCCCAGTTTTAAGCCCCTCAGTGATCCATAAAATCCCACTCAGCTACTGCCTAACAGTAAACTCGCTCAGCACCTACATTTTTGCTGTAAAAGTTCCCTGGCCACCCAAGTTTCTGCCTCTAGACATGTGCATCCAATCTCATGGCTAAACCCCAGCGCAATCCACAAACGGGGGATAATGGAGGAGCACCTATCTTTCTTGAATAGTCCAATCCGGTAAGCATGCTCTGAGCATGCCTACCAGCCTGAGACACGTTCAAAATCCAGGAAGGGGGCTGGAGGTGTGTGCCTCCCTTATAACTTTCAGCCCAGTGGCTAGAGCCCTCACCCAGGATGTAGCAGACCCAATCAACAGAGCAGAGGGTCTGGACCCTGGGTCTCTCATCTTCCAGATGGGTGCTCTAATTACCAGGCTAGAGAGACAACCTCACTCCCTCTCTCTGACCCAATGACTATTTAATTATTTCTCCAAAGTAGAACATCTTCAACAGGAGAGACTGAGGAAGACTCACATCAGAATCTAATCTAATTTGAGTGTCACATCAAATATATATATAGAACGTTTATTTATCAAGATTCTCAGAACTGGAAGCAGAAAGTTAAACGAGTTCGTTTGACCATATATTACCAAAAAGCAATAAGAAGCGTAAGAAGCCTATGAGCAGTGAGCTGCTTTATCTGACAGCTTAACTGGGAAAGAAAAGAGCTAAATTTATAGTACGCATTCCAAGAATTTTAACTCCAACGTAGGGAACTCTAAGTGAGACAGCTCTGTTTTGATCTGGCTGCGTACAAAAATAGTCTTCCTGTTGACTTAAGTCGGAGGTACCAAAAGCACAAGCTGAAGACCAAATATGCCCTATGGAGTATGGCCATCTTCTTTGTCTAATTGCACTCATTCACAAAAGACCCAGAGAAATAAAATAGGCCATTAATAAGAATTCATGATATCTGTTCCTGAATTTATGCAACAAATAACTTTTTATCTCCTCTTTTATTAAATCAAAAGTGACACCCTCCTTGATTTTTCTATTCGGCTTAAAATACTGTAACATTTCCTTTTTGGTAGTTGGATTCAAGTTTAAGTGTGTCTAAGATCTTATATTATATGATGTCTTACCAAAAAACTCCTGAACAGCCATCACATACAAAGGGCAGAAAATCTGAAACCAAAAGAGAGGTTTTTTTTAATTAGCTAAGGTAATTATTTAGCTAATAGTTTTTAATCTAAATATTTATAAGGTTAACTACCAATGCCCACAAGAAATAAATGCAAAAATGTCTTCCCTACCAAAGCATTCAAACCAATTTACATTCAGCCCTTCATACAGTGCCTGCATTAATGTTTAAGAACTTGGACCAAGTCTTATTTGCTAATTCTACAGACTCAAAAAGACTAAAAAAGTTCAATCTACTTAACAATGTCGTTTTTTTTGTAGTACAGTATACTCTAGTTTGCTACTGCTACTAAAAAATAAGAGGTAAAATGAAGTGCATTCATGTATATTCTACGAGTAGGAATTTGAAGTGTACTTCTGTAAGCAGTGCTAACAGGTTTTTTTTAATATAAAATCAATTTAAACAAAAACCTGAAGAAAAGCAAGCTGTATTTTATCAGTGTCAGCCAATTTATTATTATGACAAGATCACTCTGATCATTACCCCAGTTACAGTTTGATGGAGTACAAGGGGGAATCTTTGCTTTTGTACAACTATTATAAGGTGATGCACAAATCAGTCTAGTCTTTTGATATATATTCATCCTTTAATTCTGTGGCAAATCTAGATATTTAAGCTATTATGTAGAATGACTGGTGCAATCAGTCATATATGAATGCTTTATTTTTTACAGGGGTGAAACCATGTCTAGTACTTAGGCCATGGTACTTAGGGCATCAGTCCGGTTTACTGGGCTTTATTCCTGGTTCTACTGCTAACTTCCTGTATAAACTCAGGCAAGTCACTTAGTCCAGTGCGTGACCTTTACTCATAATGATGAGCACTTACTCAAGAAAGTAGTCTCACTGACTTCAACAAGACTATTTGTATTAGTAAATGATGATAACATGAATAAGGGTTGCACAACTGCACCCCATATCTTTCTATTTGTCAGTTTCCGCATCCGCAATTGCGATTTCATAATACACAGGTGTGATGTTTCCCTAATTAATGTTTGTAAAGCATTATGAGAACTTTTGATGAAAGGTGCTATAGGAGTGCAAGGTCTTATTATATACATTACCCATGAAATCTGGTATTTGCAAATTGACCTCTTGCGAACCTTTAACAAGACTGTACCGCTCTTCACAGATTCTGCTGTCTTTATGGCTATTCCTGAACTAGCATTTTTCAGAAAGTCTCCCAGTTTTGCACTACCACTGTACCACATCAGCTCCAATGGTGGTAGCACTAGAGCAGACTGAGGTAGCTGTTTTTACGAATGTGTCAAGTAACACTGCTCAGAGCAAAGCTGGACAATGAGATAGGAAAACATTTGAGCCCCATCTACACTAACGCAGCAACAGTGAGAGTTTTCCCAAAAATTGCTTGTGTAAACCCAACATATGTAAGTACCACAGTTCTAAAAGAAACTGCAGAAAGTGCAGTCACAAAGCTCCCTATGGCTCTCCTAGCTTGTGTGGTACTATTGCACATCTCATTAGGCACTGGAATGGCATTGACTTCAAAGTGCCAGTCCAGAAAGAATGGGGAAAGGGCTATCAGCTATTAACAGTGGCTCTGCAAAGGTAAACTGTTTTTTTCTGGCCCACTACATTACACACTTCAGTGCACCTGCTCTAATCCCCATCAAATGAGACTGGAAATTCTGTCAACTGTTGAAAACATTCTGGTAAATGAAACAAAAACTATGTCCAGTGAAGGCACCCTTTCCTTAATGATGCTTCAGATGCCACTCTTTAATCGTGTAAGCAGAGTCAGGATGAGCTCTACCCTGACATCTGGTGGTGAATTATGGCGAGTGTGGAAAAGAACTCCAGGGGCGGATCTCGTTTGCATAGGCACACCCACACGCCTAGCATGAGCCCACAGCAACCAAAAGTGGTCACTTTGGCTGGTGTGGGATCCCCAGTTTCTCTGTTATTGGGGCAGGAAGAATAAAGTTTTGTTACCCTGATTCTGTGAATCAAGGCCAGTGGAACTGTTGTATGACAGAAGGACTGAGTGAATCCGTCACCATTACCTAAGTAGCAGTTGCTTGTCAAGGGGCATGGGTTACAAGACCCAGTGAATTGAGAGAGGATGGGGACAGGTATTTGTACCTGATGGTATGGGCCCCCTCTGAGGGTTTCAAACACCAATTGCACTGCCTCCTCTCTCCACTGTTGAATGTCAGAGCTAACTTTGATTCCCTTAGGAGTCTAGTTACAGGCTGCTGAGCTGAATTTACTTTGGGCCAATGGTGCACCAGCACTGGGGCTCCCCTACTATACTATGAGCTGAAATCGCTAAGAGCTGAAATCACAAAAGAGCTGATGTTGTTAAGAGCTGAGATCACTGAGTGCTGTGTTAACTAGTGGGGGAGCCTGAAGCTATATTGCTCAGCAGCTGGTGGAGCAATTTGTGGGGACGACTGGAGGAGCAGCGAGCGGTGCGGAGCCTTGCGGGGCTGGTTGGAGCGGCCCAAGGAACGGCGAGCAGAGCTGTTTGCGGGGACGGCTGGAACGGCTCACAGGTCGGTGAGCGGAGCGGAGCAGCTTGTAGAGCGGAGCAGTTCGTGGGATGGCAGGAAAGTGGACTGGCTCGTGGTAAAGGCTGCGGCGGAACCCCCACGGAGAAACAGACGGCTGGCCAGCCTTGGATCACGTAAGGTGCCCCTTAACACCCTGCGTGCGCCCCCCCCCCTTTTACTCTGGGGCTGCACTGGTCAGGGACAGAGACTTTGGGGGTTGTTGGACTTTTGGGACTTTGGGTGGTTGCTGGACCCAAGAGACTTTGGGGCTGTTGGACTTGGGGGACTCTGGGTGATTTTTGGGTTGCTGGATTCAAGAACCAAAGGGAAAAGGACACAGCCCAATTTGCTGGGGTGGGTTTTGCTCATGGTTTGTGTTGTGAATCCTGTTTGTGGTGTTTTTCCAATTTTATGCTGATGTCGTTTACCTCATGTTATTAAACATTTTCTGCTACACTCAGACTCCGTGCTTGCGAGAGGGGAAGTATTGCCTCTTAGAGGTACCCAGGGGGGTGGTATGTAATTGTCCCAGGTCACTGGGTGGGGGCTCGAGCCGGTTTTGCATTGTGTTATTGAACAGAACCCCTAGATACAGAACCCGGCCCTTGTTGCTGCCAACTTAGATGGGCAGAAGGGTTACAATCGTAACATGCTTTTAACATGTTCCTCCAAAATAATTCCATCACATGCTGAGACTGGCAACTTAGCTGCCAGGAGCATCAACCTCTTGTGGACACAGGCAGGCTGGTTGTGGGATAGCTCCGTGGTTTGAGCATTAGCCTGCTAAACAC